GTGTGATCCACTAGTTGCATTGCTGGACTCAGAAGGCAGTGTTATTGTGTTGTTTTTTAACCACCTTCCATTATTAGTTTCCACTAATTTCCAATGTTCCATGAGTAAAATCCTCTAGCATTAGAATGGTGCATAAAGGTATTTTGTGCTCTAGTGGGTAAACTTATTTATATACAACTCTGTCTTATGCTGCTAATCTTACTCTGTATGGACAGTGTGGTTGACATCAGTTGGTCAATTTTATTAAATTCATTCACTCCTAGCTGCCTTTGACATGAACTGCATGGTGATTAGCCCACACTCTGAATACTGAGAATATTGCCCTGTGACCAGGAAACTAACACACAACAAGCACTGGGTTAAAAATTCTATTAGTATAACTATGTACACACGACCACAAATTTTAAATCAATAGAGACTGTTTGTAAATTTATTTAATGAACTATCTTAGTTGGAAATTGTTTGTCAAATGAACCTACCAAACTATACAATCATTATGATAAACAATATACCATGACATAATTGAATCATGTCTTCTATCTGTCCCCTTTTGCCTGCCTTTCAACTAATATTAATTTAGAATTCTTTCAAGATGTTGTCAATGTAGAAAGGCTGCGCAGTAGTATTGATAAATATTTTCCCTGTGTTATTATATAAATGCACATCTTTGTCAAATATATCTATGCACTTATCAATGGTAATCCTCAGGGTATATAGTATTGGGACAATTAGCACTACAAATATATAATTTAATTAAATATATTTTCCAAACTATCCCACTTTTGTGAGCAAATTTCATAATTATATCCTATACAGTATACACCAGTTACAGTTACAGTTACAGTTACAGTTACAGTTACAGTTACAGTTACAGTTACAGTTACAGTTACAGTTACAGTTACATACAGTATTTATACCGTCCATCATTTTATTATTCTAAGATAAAATCTGTCAGGAGAATGACATATATACAGCTTATATCAAATTATATTTGCACAGACAAAGCATATATACTCAACTATATGGCATATATACTCAACTATCTTTGTTTGCAAAATACCCAGTGTACAGTAATATATTACCCAATAACTTAGGCAATGCAAAGCAATTAGACTCTTGTCATGAGGCATGCCAGCTTATTTCCATATAAAATAAAAATGAAATGTAATAGGAGATACCACTGGAACTTGCAACTTGAACCAATTACCTTTCAATGTAAACTCCCCCTTATAGTCTTCTAACCAATATTGCATCACTATTAGAAATCTCATTAATATTAACCTGCAATATTATTATGCACTGTAATTACATACAGAGCCTGATGCAAGTCTTGACCCACACCGTAGTTTTATTTTTAGTACCGGTATCCAATCAAAATGTGCCAGGAGAAATGTCAATTTCACATAATTTAACAACAAGCTAAATATAGTTGCAATCACTAAATCTATAATTATTTTATTTTTATAGCATTAATTAACCAAAATATCAAAAAAATACATTAAATATGGCAGGAATACTTTAAAAATAGCTACAAATAGCCAATCAGAGTTACAACCATAAAGGTAGTTGTAGGACACAAACGTTTAATAACATGTGTATCAGGTCTTCATTTTTCTTTGCCCGCCAGCTGTGAGAAAAATGAAGGTCTGGGCACAGGTTATAATCCCATGTAAACAGAGATGAAATTTGCCTCAATAAAGCAAGCTGTCAAGTTTGGTATTGGGGCTGGTTTGCCTCCAGACAAGCAAACCTCTCTTACTCGGTAAAGACTGTAAAATGTCAAACTACCTCATCCCCCCACCCCCCCCCCCTTGCTGGTATAAGCAATAGTATTTATAAATAGACACAAACTTTAATTATTATGTTAATACAAACAAATCTGCATTAACTGTGGAGCCCATTTTCCACTTTATACACTTCTTGAACTGAACAATGAACTACAATGTAAAATATAGATAAATTTCACTTACTTTAGAGCCCTCAGTTCGAGTTTCACATAGTGGGCATCTCACAGTATAAATATACTTCAATTCTTGTACTCACATGAAAGATTAGATTCATTCCAAGCCATGCTAATTAATTCGGTGATTTGTTCTCCGTTTTCTCCGTCAATTTCGAGAGATATTTCTTCCCATTATTTGTCTCATTTGCATGTAGTGTTTGCATATTCTTGCCGCCATCCATGACTTGAATCGAATGCTTCGCTACGTCACGGTAGATTTTGATTTTGCAACTTGCATCAGTGAACCGATGCGAGCGCCCGCAATCTGCATGCGATGCATCGCTCAGCGGACAAATCGACCGTGACGTAGGGCTCTAAAACAATAGATTTGACGATGTCACAGTAGATTTCACGCGGAAAAGGACTCGGGACCGATGCATTCACTGATGCAAAATGGCTGAAAATCGATGCAAACCAAATCTACCGTGACGTAGGTGATGCATCAGCTTTCTACTGTGACGTCAAAGAATGCGGTAAAAATAACATATTTTGTCGCGAAATTATTGACGCTTAAGTGTCGCAAAATAAAAAGTAAATAACAAAAAGTACACATTTGCGATCGCACGTCGCATATTGAACTTATTTTGACAATTTCGACTGTTTTTGAGACTATTTAAATTGGATTTCATTCTAAATATTGTATTCCTGACTTGGAGTCAAGTTTAAGCAAATATTTGCGGTTTGATAGCTGGCGAGATTCAAAAATATTCTATTACTGATTGCTTGACCAAGTATTGACGACAGCATAATATATCTATATATTATTTCAAGCAACAAGATTTCTCAATTTTGACCGATGCATTCGCATCGTTGGCATCGGTTTGGATCCGCCCCTGCTTCATTTTCTTTATTTTGATGGGTGTATCTTTCACCACTTTGTCATAATTTTTTCCGTAATATAATTTGAAAAGATCCATTTTATTAAACCACATATAAATTTCTAAGAGAACATTTCCAGGTGTTTCTCCCTGAGGTCGGTTTGATCAGTGAAATCGATCTGAAGTGTGGTGATAACTGTGTTCCGATATCCGTCTGGTCTGATGTTGTACTCACGATGCACAGCGTATTAACAACTTACCGTGATGAATTTAAGATCTTCTTTGATGTCCACGGGACGATCGTTGACGTGTGGACTGTAGGAAAGTACATTCGAGGATCTGTAACCTAAAATGTTGGTAAGCTTTCTTAATCCAATGTTTCTCTCATTAACTTTTATTTTCCCCGCATCCGGATAATCCTCAATGGATATTTCGTTTTCTTCCATTTTCTTCTTCAGCTATTCGAAAGTGCAGTACTCTTCGTGGAGCATCACCTTACTCCCATCTTTGGAGAAATAGTCGTTGTCATTTTCCCGAATGTAATTCTAGTTCCAGTACACAGTTGCTGTTTTTACAAACAGTCTGGGATTGGAGTGAAGAATACGCGTTTCTTGTAAGTTAATTATTGTATGTCCTGAAACGTAAACTATACGTTAGTTTCCTCATCGTTTTATTATTAATAAAATGACAGATTCACTGAACCTTCGGTCCCGCTAGGACGAAAAAAGCTGTGGATGAAGTTTTAATTCCATTCAAAGGAAAGATGTGGTAGGTATCCCAAAGCTGCACAATTCGACGATAGAAAAGAATTTTACAACGTTGGGATGAAAAAACTGCTGAAGGATCACGGAGTCCACTACTTTTCAATAAGACCCTTTCGGAAAGCAGCTCTCGTCAAAAGATTTAACCAAACATTAAAGAGAAGAATGCGGAAATATTTTACACAAAACAACACAAAAGTTTAGATAGATGTTCTTCCATATTTAGTAAAGCCTACAACGAGTCGAAACCAGGGCCTGAGCTACGGGG